CGACGCTCATTCAAACAAAACAAAAAATATTGGGCTTTGTGTTGTACTTTGGTTGAGTAATCTTGGAAATACGTCGTAAAACCCACGTTCTGAGAAAAACGCAAATCAATTTTTTTTGAAAAAAAAAATTTCATGATGGTTAGTAGAAGTTAATGGAAATCATCAAAAATTTCGGTCAAAAATGGGGTGCCGAAGAAAAAACCAATAGTATTTCTGAAAGAACAGAAGACGGGCTATCTCCCCATGTATTTATCTCGACTTCGAAATTTTTGACGAAAACTGACTTTTTTGAGGGGGAGGGGGGCCTTAAAGTTTAAAAAAAAAATTTTTATTGAAAAAAATTAGTATTTTAGCAAATCAACATTATGAAGGGGTTGGAGATGTGTCATTTTGAAGAAAAATGTTTTTCTGCGTAGCTGAAAAAATGTTCAATCGCCGAGACAGAGACCAATGTACTTGAACATTTGTTGTTTTTCTTACAGATGTCACATGATTTTCTGAGCTTCAGAAAATTACAAGTTTACTAAGAGCTAACTCCTGTGTTATTGTCTTTGCATATGCTACATAAATTGAACTTGAATTTGAACGAATACTGTTTTCGTAATTTCGGATAGGAAATTATAAAATATTTAAATTGTCTCAATGAGAAACTATAGGGAGAGATCAAGATCATTTTATAGAGGACACTGTGATATATTTTGCGCCAGATAAACTGAATTTATGAGAAATTTGTCTAAAATAATTGAGATTGTCTTAGAAAAAGCTTGTTTTTTTATTCTCTCACCTAGTTTTCTTAAAAAGTATTCTAATCGATAATAGAATAATCATATTAGGAAAACAAGGACCAGTACTAAAATAGGAAATATTCGTTTTCAATCAATTGATTCTTTAACACTTTTCGGTCTGTCTATGTAACTCCTATGGCAAAGATGTCACAGCGTTGCTTTTTTTGCTCATTTTGTTTCGACTATAACTCCGAAACTAAAAGTCGTAGAAAGTTTGGAGACGTTTTAAATTGTAGAAAAACTGTTTTCTACATTTTGAGATCTAATCAGACTTTAGGAAACCCAATTTAAAAAACTGTGATCAAAATGCTGAGATCTACACCTTGGTTTCAATTCTTAAAAAGTAGATCTCAGCATTTGGATTACAATTTTATGAGAATGTGTTACCTAGAGCTTGGTCAAATCTCAAAATGTAGAAAACAGTTTTTTCCATTATTTAAAACGTCTCCGAACTTTCTACGACTTTTAGTTTCGGAGTTATAATTGGAACAAAATGAGCAAAAACAGTAATGCTGTGACATCTTTGTCATAGGAGTTATGCGGACAAGCCGTTTTGTTGTCGTTGTTGTTAATATTAGATTCGATGTGATTCTCATTTGTTAACAATGTCTTATTCGTGACAACCATTATTTTAATCATATTCAAAAAATGAACTAATTATTGATATTCAAATAAAATTAGAAAAAAATAAAAGTAAAAATTTTGGTTAGATAACTCATACTTAACTAGTAACGAGAATTTTTCTTATTATTAGAATTCTATCGGATAATGAAGAACAAATTACAAAGACTAAGTATTAAACAACAGTTTTTTTCAAAATTCTTAACCTCTTCTATTTGTTTCTAGCAGAGAGATACGGATATTTTTGAATACCCTCGAGAGCAAATTATTTAAGTCCAATAAAACTTGTTGTAACAAGGAGCTGAGCAAATAATATTTATGGATTACTACATAAATCATTTTCTTTTATTTGACTTTCTTCATTCACAATAGTTCATTTTTTTTTTGTGACATTTTGAAGTATTTTTTATTTTCATTTTTTTTAATCAAACGAAAAAAACAAAGAAACCTTTATAAATTTCCCTCTCATCCATTTTATGTATTCATAAAATGTAAATGTACAAGTGCCATTGATTTAAATCTATTTTTTGACATAATGTACGTGTTAGCATCAGCAGGGATTCTGACGGCATGAAACATGAAAATATGCACATAGTCAGTTTGGCATTTAGTGTAGTAATATCTTTTGGCGTAAAAAAATATTGTAAGTTAATCGTTTTGAGAATTCGATATGATATTGTACGATAATTTCTAAAGTAGATGGTTTAAATTATTATTAATAAAATATTATCGTATTGACGCGAGATCATTACTTATCAATTGTATCATCTATGTTCACTAACGTGAGAGTATTCAAGAGAGTTATCTTCATTCGTAATAACTGAACAAGATTTTGAGTAGTTTTGCTCAATTTTATTCGATCACGAAACTAACTAATTTCTTATACATTTTTCTTTTTTACTCAACAAATTCACCTTGAGACGAACGAACAAACAAGAGAATGTTCATTCGTATACAGAAAGGTTAAATATATTAAACAAAAAAAAAAGAACACGAGAACAAGAAGTAATTATATAAATAAGATAAAAAAAAAATGAAAAAAAAAATATAATTCTATTCTTCTATTTTGAAACGTTGTTGTTACGAAGAGAAAAGAAACATTGAAAATGTCGTGTTATATATATATATATTGATGACTGATTATAAGTTTCATATGAAAACAAATTCTTTTATTCTCTCTCATTGCTCAGTTTGTTTTCTTCTTCTTCTTTTTTTATTTCTTCTCTATATTAGTTAACTTGACAATATGAATAACACGTTGAGCGTTAATAAATTGAAATTAGATCTATAGAAGGCGTTAAGAGTATTGAATAAGGTTTTGAATTTCAAACCATTGCCTGCTATACTAAACTATAGAGAGAAATTAAACAATTTTTTTCCTCTTTATTAATGTGTACGATATCAAATGTATATTGAAACCAACGACAACGTTTCCTGCTAAGGTAATTGATTAATTTTTATTCTTCGCATTGATTTTTATAGCTGTATTTTTAAAGTAAAAAAAAATATATGAGAAAAAAACCTTCGAGTTATTTTGGTAATTACAAATAATCTCCGTTTCAAAATATTTATTATACATTGATTTAGTCCACTGATTGAGTCAATTATTCTGCGAATTGATTACTATCTCTCCCATACTGTTTAAGGAAGAAAAGGAGTCATCGTTGTTAGATCCTTTTTTATACCAGACAAAGATAGCATAAAGTTTTCTGTTTGAAGATCTGTATGTAACAGTAACGTTCATTCTGCGGTATATGCTTGTTCAAGTATAAAAAAGAGGATAGTATTAACTCTGAGGGAAAATGAACTTTTAAATTTAGAATTTTAAACATTGCGAATCATTTGAACAGTCCCAGATCAGAAAATCAGATCACGATCTTATAAAATTTTGCGGAAAATCATAAAAACGGATTCATATTATAAAATCTTATAAAAATCATACAAGAACCTTACGAAATCTGATGAAAGCTTACTATTAGATCTTACATCAAGAATCAATTTCTATGTTTCTTGCAGAATCTTACAAACTCTTATAAGAATCTTACGAAATCAGATGGAATCCTACAAGAATCTTATAAGATCTTACAGTAAGATTCTTTGGCCTAGGATGAGGTGTGCAGATAGTCATTTGAAAATTATAGAAGGAGCTCCATTCCTCTGAGAAAGTAGATACTTTTAGCATGGTGGTATAAGTTTTTAATTTTCGTATACGTTCATCAGTTTTCATATGATCGTAATTCTAGTGAACAAGTACAAATTGCCTTAAATCTTATAAGGAGAATGGACGCCATTGGAATTAAACTAAACTCTCAATAATCTTAACCTTAGTTTTTGAGTATCTTTTTTTGTTAACAAGTTCAACAACGATCACTATCTTCACCTTTTCTAGATCAAGACGGTAAGATAACAAGAATAATCAAATGCAATCACAATTAGAATCCGATAAATTACATTCACAAATTAAACCAACTCGAAACAGTTTTATAACAACAGATCGTCCAGATACGGCACAGGTGAACTTATAATGGTACAATTTCAAAAATACAGTATCCTAATCAATTTTTTCTCCTACAGTTGGTTGATCTACATGTGTATATAATTCCAAAATCTGTTTGGAAAGAACGTCAACATTTAGCACAAAATGAGGCCATTGATGATGCTATATCAGCGGGATTTGTGCAGTAAGTAGTTAACAAACTTCCCCGGTCCACTTTCTTGCTTCATTCATGTCGCAGAAGCAGTCCTCGCTCAGCGATCACGTTAAAATCGTGCAACTCGTGCCGCGATCGCTAAAAAGTCGCTGTTGTCGCCGCGCAATCAATCGCGACCAACTCTTATTTTTGGAAAAACTTGTAATTTGAGATTGCGACGTGACACTTTTTTTATAGAGATCGCACTCGGATCGCGAAGTTGCGCGGCGATCGCTAAAAAGTTGCTATTATCGCTTTACTACCTCGAATTACAAATTTGCGCAGAGTAAGACTTAAGTACAGCGTCTCCCGTGCAAGTCCTATTCTCCGTTTTGTTTTGATTATCTGCCTGGTATATTACTCTTACTGGTTTTTCGAAAAATTTTCAAAATTTCATCATATCTTAATAATAGCTTTCGATATGACTAATATACTTTTGCGTAGTCGCGTCGCGCGTACACCATTCGTCTGCGTTCGCAGTAAAAGTAGCGTGGTTCATTTACTCATATTAGACGAAAAACGCGAATAAATAGTAATTATAGTAAAATACCTGAGAGTTATTGATTTTTTGTATGAGTGCGAAAAAATAGTGATAGCTAGATATCGCACCTTATTTCGCGAGTCTTACAACGAACGCGTTATGTGACCCTGACGCGAATTTTTAAAGAGACTCGCGTCGCGACATGCGATAAAAAAGTGGACTTGGGTTATCATAGTCTATAAACAAATATGATCTGATTTTAGTGTACCTCAAAATATGCACATTCAAGATTTAAGAAAACAAATTGAACAATTATGTGGAAATGAAGATTTTTTTCCAAAAGATTTTATTGTTTTAAGAAGTGTAGGAAGATGTATGACAAGAGTGAGTGATTGAATAAGATATGCTAATCTTATTGTCAAATCGTTGAATTTTTTTTACAGGTTAAACCACGTCAAGAAATCGAGTTAAGAGTGAAGAATTTTCGTCCACCTCAGGTACTTTCTAAAACTTCTACATCTATTTTTGAATTCTTAAGAACAAATAATCATGTATCTTTTTAGACATTTGCACCAGAAGTGAGTTTTATTATAAAAGATAGTGATTAATAGTTGCTGATTTTCATATCTCACATTTAGATATTTCTTCTGGAAGGTCGTCATGAAGATTATACTCAAACACCTTCTGCTTCTCCATCGTTGAGCTCTGTAAGTTATTTGTTTGGCAATCGAACTCAACGGACGCCGAGTCGAATGTCAGGTCAACATCAAAGTCAATCACCCGTAAAATCGATTGTACGATCAGGTCTAGAGAACGATTGGTCAACCACCCATAACGAAAATTCTCACCAGCCTAACCAACAGCAGCAACGAGTTAGGACCAAGTATCCACAAATAGGTGAATCAGGTATATTCTTATGAACCATAACTGCGGTATTAAAAACTAAAATCAAATCTTTTTTTGCTCTATTTAGAAGTCGATGATGTTTCAGCAACGTAAACACTTTCATCTTTTCTTCTTTATTATAAGTTTAGTCTCTGTCCAAATATTTTTAGTCGATCTACCGTATCCAGTACACGTACATCAAGGTAGTTATTTAATAATTGTGTACCTGCGTGTGTGTAATATCTTCTTTATCATTTCACATTCACAAATTACTCTTATACCATCACCTAAACCTTAATTATTCGTCAACAGACATGAAATGTCAGAATCATTTGCTTATCCACAGACTATACACGATCGAAAGTTACCATTACACGCTTATCTACTATAAGTTTTCGTTGATTAAAATTGTTAAACAGTATTCACTACCTACAGCGTATTTTTACGCTACTCAGGTTGAATTCGCCCGATTGGATCCTGTCGGATCCTTTTAATTCCGATGATTTTCGGAGATCGAGCGTTCGATCGGATCCGGAGATCAGAATCTGCTCAGTTCCTTCATGCTCCGATATTTGGTTTCTGGAGGATCCGGAGATCGGATCCGATATTCGTAATCCGTCGATCCGTTAATTTCCGATGACCGGAAATTGACGGATCCTGTTATGTGCACTTTATTTTTTTTTCTTTCTTTTCTGTGCGCTAAATATATTCATCGTTTTATTTCACGACAGGAGCACTTTAAATACGATACTACAGAAAATGAAAAATGAGAAGTTGTTTGTTTTTAAACTTTATTTATCACTTAGAAGAAAAAGTTGTTCTTCTCAAACTCTTAACGGTATGAGTCATCGTTCACACTGTTCAATGGACGTGTTGTACACGTTCTAGCTAGTGAGCCATTCCACTCTCTCGAATGGACAGAGAGAAGAATCACTAGAAAATGAAAGAAAAAAATTTAAGGCTAAAAATAGCCTTAAAACATCTGAAAACTGATCACATTCTGCCAAATCGAGCGAAATTCGATGTCTGAAACTCGAAGGATCCAGTCAAATCTTTTCCGAAACGGATTCCGAGCAACGAATTTCCGACATGGTTGCTGCCAGATTTTGCCGAATTTCATCAACTTCTGGCATATTCTAGTGTTAGATCCGGCAGGTTCCATCAGGATCCTGACGCCAGAATCATCGACCTGGGTAGTCATCTATTTTTGCAGAATGCATTTTGCTTTAATTTAGTATAGTGGTATAGAACGTAAATGAATTCGATTACAATATGTTGTTCGACGCTTTTCTGAAGTATGGAATAATCTTATCATTACGCCAATGCACAGTGTTGCACATATTTTTTCCACAAAAATATTTTGGCATAATACTGTTCAGAGAACAGAACTGAACGTAGTAGAAGTGCGCTGGATAGTCAATCTCCACTCGTTGAGATGAACCGGATCGAAAGGTGTTAGGATTCAGAAAATTTTTAACGAGACGGGACGGGTGGTCAAAGCACTTGAATACACTTTTTACGTAGATGACATATTTAATTAATTTTTCGTTCTTTGTATAGAGAAATGGCTAAATTAAAAGAAGAACAAGAACGTTTGCGTCGTCGTCAAGCTGAATTAGATCGTATGCGAAGAGAAGCTGAGGAGAAAAAGCGTAAATCTGATCGTGATGAAGAAGAACGACGTCGAAAAAACCAAGAAGAAGCAGCAATTAAAATTCAGTCATCTTATAGAGGATTTAAAGACAGAAAGACGACAAATGAATTAAAACGAAGGTAAGATATTGCATTGTTCATGTTATCATAAAATTATTATTATATGTTATTATAAAAATTGTGCTACTCAGGCACAAGAAAAATGAGAAGAAATGGCATGACTAATGCATTTTTTTCGATAATGTCAGTTATTCGAAGAACTGTTTAAACGCATTTTGTTGTCTATTGAAAATGTTAGATGAACGATCGTAAAATCAATCGTTTTCACGTGATCAATCGTAAAACGTGACAGAATTATACTGCGGTAGCAGAATTACCTGGTTAAATCGCAATATCGTTTTTAAATACGTTTCACAATGAAGTAAACTTAATGTGTGAGGAAATCTTTCTTTAAATGTTAAAATCAAGTTAATTAAAGCGTGGTTTTCCCATTCCAGAATAGCGTCTACTAAACTTTCTATATAAACATTCAACACAATAAAATGTAAAGGAACAAGAAATCAAGTAAACTGAAAATACTACACACTTCAAAAAGAAAGTTTTCAAAACTGTATACAGACGATCACAATGGGTATTGATGCAGACATTTAGGTAAAAAAACAAAGTTTGAATTATTCATTATTTACATAGAAATTGCGATATCAGGGCTAATTTTCAATCATAGGACATGATGACAGGAGAGAAATACTTAATGTAAAGATTACAAGGAGAAAGTCAAATTATTCGATTTTTTAATTGAAGAAAATGCTCATGAATTTTTATTACTACTCATGCTATAAAAAAGTGTTGTTGTAGCAAATAGGTAAAAAAAACATTTGGTAGATTAAACATAAGATTGGAGAAAACTAATGTTTTGTATGGCAACAAAATTTTTCCAACATAGGTCGTCCATGTATCGGGTGTTCCAAAATGTTTGCAGCATACTTTATTTTGCACATATCTCAGTTCAGAAATATGATAAACTTTTAATTTCCTTTGTAGAAGATGTACCATTTAATTCTCTACAAAAAAAAACATATTGAACATTTTTCTGTATAACTCAAAGATAAGAGACTATAGAAGAAATAGCGCGGCTATGTATTCTCGAGTTCTTCCTAGTCCAAAAAACACCAGTAAACAAATTTATTTTGTACACGTTTCCATACATCATAGTGGAATAAAATGTATGTTGTGGTGCTCATGAATGTCGTCTTTCTTTCGTATATAATAGATTCACTTTAAACGGTTGTTTTTCTTGTACAAAAAACGATTTTACCAAAACTCCTTCTAAAAACGAGAAAATTTGACCTTTTGGTCTTAGTACAGTAGAAATAACGGACCTATGAAACTTTTTCCGTTCTGATGTGAAAGTAGAGTTATTTTCCTTCAAACTAAAACAAATTCGATCTTAAAATGTTCGATTTTGGCCGGGTTAAAAAGTTTTTCCAAATGTCTTAAAACTTCAAACTGAAATGATGATTTCTGGCAAAAAGAAAATAAAGGTCACTCCTAATCGCTCGTGATGACGAAGAGTTTAAAATCTTACCAGTAAATAGTTTTTCGAGTGCTACAAAATGGCTGTTTTCTCTTTTTGTATAGCACAAAACTGAAAGAACTAAACTGAAAAAACTGTTTTTTGGACTAGAAAGTGGTCGAGATTGCTTGTTTGTAGTATTTCCTCCATATGCTCTTATTTTTGAGTTATATAGAAAATGTTCAATATGTTTTTCTCTATAGAGAATTAAATGGTACATCTTCCACAAAGAAAATTAAAAGTTTATCATAAGCAAAATAAAGAATATTGTAAATATTTTGGGACAGTCGATTGTGAGTTTTGTAAATTTTCTCTGACGTTTTCTCTGGCTCAGACCTTGTCTAAATGTGGTTTTGAGTGTAATGTAACGATGGTACATGCGCAAACCCTCAGTAGATTTATGAAAAATCGACAGTTTGACTTTTCTCGGCTTCACATCGTTTTTTTTTTATGAAATCAACAACATTTTAGAAATTAGCTCGTCAAAGTGCATCAAATGATCTGCGTTAAGAGCTTTCTAAGAGTAAAGCCTTTTTCAGAAAGTTATGTTCTCATCTATTAGAATCCTCTAGTTTTTCTCGAAAAATGATCTTTAGTATCATCGGTTTAGGCGTGGCATCGGACGTAATCCGATGCCACGTCTAAACCAAGAAAGACTAAGAGGTCATTTAGCTCCTGTTTTGGAGAAGACACTTGGGACTACCTATCTATGAAAAAAGATCGACCTATTTCTATGTCAGTTTCCAGAGATCCAAACTGGTTTTCTAAAGATCTACTCAAAAATCTGCTTCAGAACTCTTTTAAAAAGTCGTCTTTGCTTGTGAAAAGCTAGGCTCAGGTGTCTGTTTTCGATTGCTGAAAACCGAAACGTTCTATCTTATACTGTTATTGAGTTATTAAAAAAAGGGCAACCTGTACTGTATTTTGGCGCTGATAATAATTTCTAAGTCAGAAAACAGCCTGCTTACGCACAAGAAATTACAGATAAGGAAGGAAAGTCAAAAATACTTTCTGTGACGATATCTGATCTTCTCCACTAGTCTCTTAGGCTCAGTTAGATCGGATGTGTCTGAAATGTTGTTGGAAACGCCTATGAAATCATAAATATATTATTTTTGAATTCATTCTTAGCAAGTGAAACGTATTTCTAATGTTTATTGATTGTTACAAAGAATTTTGGATTGTGTTTTTCTCTTGAAGTTGAAATTTTCACGAATTGTAATACTCGATGCTATCCAGTAGTTGAAGTGGCAGATAATCGGACGTGAAAAGAACATTGGCCAATGTGGAAAAAATCGGTTAAAATTTCCATATCCTTTTTCTGTCTCTATATCAAATCATCCTCAAAATGTATTAAAACGACATTATCTTCGTCGTTCATCTTCATCGACAAAAGTTATCTTCGAATACGTTGTCGAAATATTCCAGTATTTTCCTGTTATTTTACATAATTTAAATAAATTTTTAGCGATAGTCGAACGAGTGTTGACTCTCGTCAATCTCGCATGACACAGGTATCAAAAATCAGTAAAAATTATAAAAATGATGGTAAGAAACAACAGAATGGACATCATGAAAATATATCAGCAAAAGATAAGAATTACAATGAAACAAATCGTAAAAGGTTATAATAAAACTATTCCATATAATTATTTGCATGATCAATGTATGCATGAGTGTATTTCACAGACAAAATATGCACAATTTAACAAAATATTCATCACTCTACTTTGCATCTATTTTAACAATAAATTAACAAATAAAATAATTTTAAAGTAAATAACGTGTGAATAATATAACTAATGCTTTAATTTATCATATTTAACATTTCAAAAATAAAAAACATTTTTTTTGTTTTTTCTAATCGATAGTAATAGAGAATTATGTTTAAATATATATATTCCAGAGTAGATTCTGAACATCCTTATCGTCATGATAATGGAACAACGACAAAAAATCAATCAACTCCACGAAATCAATATGAACAATCAGTTACTGTTAGATTAGTCAATAATAGTACAAACAAGCAGTAAGACAAAAATAACTTTACATTTAAAAAATTTAATATATAAATAACATTTTGAGTGTGTGTGTGTGTGTGTCAATTTATTTTATTTGTTAACTATAAGAATTTTCGATATATGTCGACTATTTACCAAGTTTTGTTTTTTGTTTCGCTTGTTTCAATAAGAGACGAAAAAATAATAAGGGTAATAGTAAAACATGAAGACATCCATGGACAGCACACAGACAGCCACTAACAGCATAGAGACAACCAAAATAACTACACAAACATCCACTTCTACAGACATGAGAGCGACACAGAAGTGGATGTCTTTGTAGTTATTTTTGGTTGTCTGTGGGTGTCTCTATGCTGACTGTGTAGCTGTCAGTGGCTATCTGTGGATGTCTGCCCTAGACAAAATTTTTTTGGTAAAACTGATAAGATTCTTATCGGAATTTTATCAGTTTCTTATATAATTTCTTATAAGAACCTTATAAGATTTTCATAAGAGGCTCGTAAGAAATTCATAAGACATATTAAAAAGTCTGGTGTTATTCTTATTTACTAGAAGGCAGTTCATGAGTTGGTTTTGCTGATTTCTGTTATAATTAAGTTGCGTCTATTGGCTGGAATACTTCATAAAAAATTTTCGTACTTCTTATGAATTTCTTACGACTCTCTTATGAAAATCTTATAAGATGCTTATGAGACACTTACGACTGACTGCCGATGGAAAATCTTAAACAATCTTATATATGAAACTGGTAAGATCCCGATAAGAATCTTGTAAGATACTGGTAAGAGACTTACGAGGGAGCTACCCGAGGTTATAAATCGATTTGATCGGGTTGAGACTATTTTTGCTAGAAAGGCCCTAACGAGTAGTGAAATACCTAAACTTCGTTCATCCCCATGGTGCTTTGTTGCTGAGATACTGAATTTTTAGTCAGTTTTTGCCTATAGAACTTGGAGTTCGAGCAAAATCCACGTATCGAATTTGGATTTCAAACTTGCCACACTTGTAGCCCATGGGCATAGTAGTACGACGGAAAAATATTCGGTGCTAATGAATTTTCCTGCCTTGAAATATTGAGACCTCACCCTTACCTTCTGATGAAATGTTCGAGTCTCAATATCTCAAGGCAGGAAAATTCATTAGCACCGAATATTTTTCCGTCGTACTACTATGCCCATGGGCTACAAGTGTAGCAAGTTTCAAATCAAAATTCGATACGCGAATTTTGTTCGAAATCCAAGCTCTATAGGCAAAAACTGACTAAAAATTCAGTATCTCAGCAACAAAGCACCATGGGGGTGAACGAAGTTTGGGTTTTTCACTACTCGTTAGGGCCTTTCTAGCAAAAATAATCCCAACCCGAAATCGATTTATAACCTCGGGTGGTTTCCTCGTTGGACGTTTCTGGTAAGATTCTTATACAAGAATCGATGTCTAGGGTGTGTATTGTTTGTAAGTGTCTGTGGATATCTGTGAGTGCCTTCATGCTTTACTATTACCAAAAACAACAACTAATCAAATTAGTTTTTGATTATCTTTAAAAATTCTAATAAACTTATGTTATGTTAAAAACATAGAAAAATTATTGTCAATGATATGTTTGTTTAATCAAGATAAGACTTAACAAAACTGACATTTTGTTTTACAAATACTAATCATCGAGTTAATGTTTACAGGTTAGAAGATTTTAATATTAATCTAAAAAACGAAATTAATATTGAATAAAAAACAAAAATAAACAAAATAATTAAGACATTGATTTCATAAATAGTCGAAACAAAAACAAAAAAAAACTTCTTTTATTTTTCTAGTTTAAAACAAAATAAATTAAGTAATGGACACGATTTAAAAAATGTTAAAGATACTGACGATAATTACATGTATGTGTTTATTGTAAAAGTAGTTTATCTATGTGTTGTACAATCTTCACTCTATTTATTATTATTATTACTATTATTATTATTATTATTCTCTTTCACATTTATTAGTTTGTCTTGTTTTGTGTGTATGTGTGTATGTGTGTATTCAACCTCTATCATAGACATGTCATTTGTAATTAAAATAAAAATTCAATTGACATGATGTTTTGTATAGATTATACATTTTTTTTTTCTCAATCTATTTTTGATATACATGGCATTCTAGCAGTCCATTTGATCCACTTGTATCTTCAATTCAAATTTATCGTGCACCTACTACTACTACTACTACTACTACTACTATTGATAAACATGGACAAAATTCTTCTCCTTCTTCTTCTTCATCATCAACTACACCATCGACAACATCATTTTCACAAACATCAAAACGAAATAAAAGTTTTCCATATATTAAGTCACCTATTGAAAGTCCTATACCATTGCCATCAATTCGTCGACATTCACAAGATAATCATGAAGAATCAAATAATTATTATACTCGAAATCCTGATCTAATGATTGAATCTGAACCATCTAAACAACAGGAAAAAAAGAGACGTTTAATTAAACGACGATCATCAAATAATGATAAATATCGAAAACATCAAACTGATTTATCTTCTACATCTTCATCATTTGATTATGATTACAATTTAGAACATAAACGACCAATAATTAATTCAAAAAATGATAATAATGATGAAAATGCTGATACACGATCATTAACAGTAATAAAAAATGTTTATGAAGATAAACATAATCAAAAATTGTCAAGTGATGGTGAAGAACAAACAACAACACCGACTATGGAAAAAATACAGAAGAAAAATCAACACAACGGTAACGAATCATCAAATAATGACAATGAGTAAGTGAAACAAAAATGAATTATTGATCTATTCACCATGACACATTTCGTGCATGAAAACAAATCACAGACACACATTTTTTCCCTTTTTTTCTGTTGGATCATCACGTATTATCATCACAAGATGGAAGAAATACAACAATTATGTGTATCATAGTCAAAACTAAATTAGTTGGGATGCTTAAAATCAATAACAAAAACAAAAAAAAAAAAGAAAATATTTTCTAATTTTGTTTAATAATTGCTTTCTGCTTTATTCAAGTACGATAGAAAGTAAAATATTATACTTTTTATACGTACTCTGATAACAATTATTTATTATCTTTGCTTACATAATGTTTATTATACTTAAAACAAAAAATGAACTGTTATTATTTATAACTGTTTTAGTTTTTAGAATTATTATTATTTTTTAAAATAGTTTCTAAAATATTTAGGATTGAACGTGAAAGACAACTACGTGATAAAGAAGAAGCAAAACGTCGTAAACGAGAAGAAGAAGAACGAAAACGACGAGAATTAGATGAACAAAAACGTAAACAAGTATTAATTGGACAAAAAAAGAAACAACAAACAGACGATCGTAAATAGATGATTTTTTTATTTATGCAAAACACCTCCCCCTCTTTTTTGACTCTCTTGGAAACTGGGGAAGCCCATGTTGGGTCGGGTTGAAATTTACATCAGAGATAGAACGTCGAAAAAGAGAATCGATATATTTTTGCCTAGAATTTTCTGACGTCTTCTTCTATGAGTTTTCTGAAAAACTTCACTTTTCATCGACTCACATTACGACTCCTCGAAAAAATGGTCTGATCGAGCACAACATTTTACCACAGAT